CTCGTGCTTGGTCTGAAAATTTTTGTAATAAAGTTCTTTCGGTTGGATTTCTAAAAAGTCATCATGATCCAATGCTTTTTGTGTCTGAAACTTCTACAGGACGGGTTCTCTTGTTACTATATGTCGACGATATGATTATCTCTTGTAATGATAGGGGTACAATTCATAAAATCAAACAAAGGCTCAATAACGCCTTTGAAATGAAAAATTTGGGTTTTTTGCTGTATTTTCTTGGACTCGAAGTTGTTATTCTCCTCGTGGCTATCTGTTGCGACAACAAAAATGTGCTTCAGAAATTGTTTCTCAAGCTCGACTCCAGAATGATACAAAAAAGGTTGATACCCCTCTTGTGGTCAATGCCAAATTTCGGGCTACCGCTGGTGATGCTCTTCCTGACCCAACCTTTTATAGGCAACTGATTGGAAACTAATATAACTAACCATTTCATGCCCCGATATTGCTTATACAGTACATATGGTTAGGCAGTTTTTGAGTGTTGAAGACAGCAAAAACCTAGGGTTGGGGATGAATCTAGGGTTCTAAAGGTAATGGGGTTAATTAAATACAGGAATCCAACCTAGGGTTTTGTAATATCCAAACCCTAGCATTGGTTTCCTGGAGCAGGTAGTGAGCATTTGAAAACTAAGATGAGTCCCTAGAAAGCCCAGCCATTTGAATTTGACAACGGGGGTATTTATGGTGCAAGATGAACCAGGTTCCTATCATGACAAGTTTAACTAAATCATATCTCACCCCACCTGATTAATTAAAGCCTATTCAATTCTCTGTCATCAAGAAAGACTTGGATAATCTTTGAGGTCTTAGTAAGGATCTCCCATCTATGAAAGCAAACTTAAAATTGGTAAATTTCAAGAATTTATTATTTTTGAAAAATTTATTGTTGTTGTTGTTGTTATTATTTGTGCCCCTATTTAGATCTAATCCTGTCCTAAATTTGTTTCAAAATAATCTATAACATAAAATTTGAAATAAAAAATATGAGTCGTCCAATCAATATCTGCCAATTATGAGCCAACTTGTAAAATTGTGAGTCAAGCCATCTGATCAGGGCACGTATACCATATATGTGGGTAGGGTTACATAGAAAGCCTTTTTTTTCCTTATATAAAAGCCTAGCCAATAAATAATATTTGTAGGATATCAAGTTTCTTGGGCATGATATTCTCAACCTAGCGACTAACATAAAACAGAAAAAAAAAATCCAACACGCACTTTAAAACTACAAGGAAATAATAGCGTCCTAGAAATATGGTGAATACGAGAAAGTTTATCCTCATCTTTAGTGCTTTACGATGAATTTTCATTAGCAAATGTTTATCCTCATCTTTAGTACATTTTGTTCCTGCTGGAGCATACAAATCCTTTATAAAAGTCAAATCAAAGCTCTCACGTGTTTTCTTAAAGGACCCGGTTTCTAATGCGGGGGCCTCGTAATAAATATATTTTTGAAATATATTTTAAGATTTAATTTTTAAAGACATATAATCTCTAATATGAAGATCATGAATATGAAAAAATAAATAAATTTTAAAACCTAGAAATAATAATTCTAGTAAAAAAACATTTAGACCGTTAGTTTTCATTGTTTTTAGATTAAACACCTACTTGCATCCTGCTTTAAAACGGATGCCTTACATTTTTTTGACCGCATATGTAGAAATGCGGTCCACACCGCATGAAAATAAGTTTTAAAAATAAAATAATAATTCTAGTAATAAAACATTTGGACCGTTAGATTCTATTGTTTTTAGATGGAACACCTACTTGCATCGATCTTTAAAATGGATGCTTTATATGTTTTGGACAACATATGTAGAAATGCGGTCCAGCCCGCAGGAAATAATTTTCCATATTCAAGTGCGAGGTTAGTATAAGGTGTCAACCTTAAGGTATACCTCAAAACCATGTGAAAATGGAATTTTGGTGCCACTTATGAAAATTTATTATTTTCCCCAATTATAAAATTTAAAGTTCCGAAAATAGTGATGATGAAGCAGTTCAATAAACATTTGAAAATTTTGAAAATTAACGGTACAAATAATGTGTTAGAAGATGAACTATTTTTAGGACTAGAAATCCCTTATTTTTCATGTCTATAAATCTTGAGGTCGAGATGACTAATTTGAGGGTTTTTTAATTTCAAAACAACCTTCTCTAGTGGGCTTTTTAGGTGCACCTTATTTGTACAGTATAAGGTTAACAAAAACTCTTATGGTGGCTGAGGGGAAGAGAGAATGATTAGGGTTTTATTAAGATTTTCTTTTGCTTTTTTTTTTTAATGAGAAAGTTTAATGTTATAATTTGGTATATGCTATCGACCAGGGTCAAAGTTAGAAAATATATTTTTATGTGAGGACCCTGTTCTCGCATTTGAATAGATGTATCTTTTTAATTTACATACCCTTTAATTAAAGTAAAAACTGACATAGGTTTTCCTCTTCCTTTCCTTTTAACTTTCAACTCCTTATAATTTTGATCATAAATATATTTGGCTTCATGTGGGTAACTTCCCCCTCAATTAAGCTGAATTTCCGTTTGGCCCTAGCCCACAATATGTGTCTCTCCACATATTCATTGCGTTGCATCCAACACCGAATTCGGTGCATTTCCTTCCAATTTAAGACAAGATTTGGATATTTCCCTATTTCCTCTTTCTTTGACGAATGCTCACTTTTTCCCTTTTCTTATGGAATTTAATTTGACCAGATCTCCTGGTCTACAGTCCTCAACAATATATAGCTAGACACGTTATTTTTTCGAATTCAATTAATTTCGTCATAGCCTTTGTTTATTTAACGACTGTTGCATGGGACAGTATACATTTCCCTGTTTTAGATAAGTATATGCTTCCTCAACATACTTCCTTTTATAATACATTCAAGAAAATTCTTGGGTTCTTAATGTGACAAGATGCTATGAAATGACACCCTAACCAGAAGATTAGCATGTACAATATGCTCTTGCCATAGTATACTGTTTACTTGCTCCCTTGGTGAAAACCATACTCTCGGTAGCCTGTTGGATATCAAGAGTGATTTACATATGGATCCTAAAATTTTTTGAAAACACAAAATATTTCGTTTATAGGCAGAAATTTCAAAGAAAGTCGGCCAACCTGTGTTTTTTTTTCTTTCAAAATTTCCCCTTAGTCTGAGGATGGAATCCGCGAATCGAATTTCAAATTTTTTGTTCTTAATTTTTTTTTCACTATTAGAACATTGCCCCAAGCTTTAGGGTAGTACCCTATTAATGAAAAAACTAAAAAAAATATATTAAAAATCAGTCGGAGGATGTGAGGGACAATTTTGAAAAAAATAAAAAAAGGTGGGTTGATCAACCTTCTTTGTAGTTTCCACATATAAACGGAGCATTTTGTATTTTAGGAAAAATTTTAAGGTCCACACCTAAATCACTTGGAAATGAAGTGTCGGATCTTCTGAAGAAACAGCACATGATGATTACAAAAAAAGCATGGATTTTGAGTTCTTTCACAATTCATTTTCACAGTTCAAATTTTGCACCATCTATGCTATGTTTTAGGATGTTATTTTTTCCACGCCAAGAGAGGATGTTTGATATTTTTTGAAAAATTTATCAAATTACTCATCAAAATACCTATAAAAGGCATATGATCTTGGTTTGGAATAATTAATCTCTTATGGTATTTTGATAAAATTTTCCTTCGTTTTTAGTTGGGCACTATGTTGAAGAATATAAATTAAAAACTTTGGAGTCCTATATTACCCCTGGGTTGGGTGTTGTGCCTGGGGGAATAAAATGAAGAATGTAATATTGGTATGGCATAGGGTATTCACGACATGATCCTTCCCCCTCTCTCTATCTCACTCACCCTCTCTCTCTAATTTCTAACTTGAAATCTCTGTATTTTATTTTTTTTCTTTTTTTATTTAAATATCTATATTTCCATCTTAATGATTAAATGGATGGTTTTCTAGTATCAAAACAATCTTTTCTACGTACTAGAGAGAGAGTTGTTTTTATTTGTAGGTTTTTACTTATTTATTTATTTTTCTTGTAAGTGCATTTAAAGGGAAGATGTTCCTTTTTTGTAAATAAAAATGATTAAGTAAAGAGTTTGATGTTTCGAAAAATCTTGGGGTGGACTTCTTTGCGCACCTAAGGTAAAGGTGTACTATTTCAAAATTTATTTTATTTTGTTTTATTTTTCTGTTATTATTTCTCCCTGCATCAGAGAGGGAGAGGGTTGGGGCATTGAAGCGTGATGAGAGAGGGCGAGATATAGAGAAGTTCAATGGAAAACAATATTTTTCTGTTATTATTTCTCCTTGCATCAAAGAGGGAGAAGGTTGGGGCATTGAAGCAAAATGTAGGGAGAAGGTTGGGGAATTGAAGCAAAATGTAGAAAAGTTCAATGGAAAAGAGAGAGAGAGGTTTAGGAGAAAGAGAAAGGTTGAAGAGAGAGATAGGGGTTTAGATAGAAGGAAGACAAATGGAAAGAAGTATCATTTAATATTTTTGGGCAAAAACTATGCGATCAAAAGGGCTTATTTGGGTCTAGGATTATAAGATATATATTACTTTAAATCCCCATACAGCCAAAAAGGATCTGAAACAGTGGGTTTCTTGATAAATGGTACACTAAAATAGAGTATCTGAATAAATTTTCCCCTTTTAAAATTAAATATGAGCCTTTGAAGTTGCATTTAGAATTAAAATTAAAAGATGCCAAGTAACTCTGCTTTTGGGCTGCATAAATTTTAACAACTTTAGAACATATAGGACCAATAAGAATCGTTAGCAAAATTAAAATTAAAAGGTGCCAAGTAACTCTGCTTTTTGGGCTGCATAAATTTCAACAACTTTAGAATATATACGACCAAAAAGAATAGTTACCATGAATAAAGGATTTAAATACACAAAATAAAAGTATAGCCAACCAATTTAATCCAAATAAAAGTATTTTTATTGTCAAAAAAAAAATAAAGGATTCAAGTACACAAAATCTAAGGGCAACCCGTTACACCTAAAGCTGGTGGCCTATTTATTAGAACAGCAAATCACAACAATTAAGAATGGCATAGCATAACAAACCAAACACCATCCAAGTGTTTAGGGCACTGTAGCATCAATCGTTTCAGTTGGGTACCCTACAGTTAGTCCTAATCTGCCCTGAAGAACCAGTGAGAGGCTCAATGTCTCCCATCTTCACCATAGCTGAGGCAAAATCCGCAAAGAAAGTGCTCCTACTGTTGCTATACGTTCGTACCAAACTATCAGTTGAGTCATTATTGAACAACACTTGATCAGAGTGGAGCAAGCCCTTCAATTGAACCAAGTTCTTGAAGTAGCTTTTATCAAAGCTATTTGGAGTGACTTTGTCCAGAGGAGCCAAGTTGGTGTTACTACCAGATGTTGGGCAGCTTCTCTGTCTTGTGCTCGCAAAACTGGAGTCGATGTTGTCTTCGTTGTGGATTCTATCTCTGAAAGTGAAACACTGGGCTTGGCCTATGGTGTGAGCACCAGAGAGCGCGACAAGGTCCTGAGGTTCGAGGCCCTTCCGGGAGAAGAGTGAGATGAGCTCTTTGAGGTCATCTGTGAAGCTTGGGAGGTTGTCATTCGCGTCGGTCTCGCTTGCGGTGGCTGAATCCCTCCTGCCTAGTTTCACTGTCCATGTTGGTCCTCCCATCTGTAGTTTATTTTTGTGGTTTTTGTCAATTGATTTTGGGACTGAGGATGTTGGTGTTAGGAGGAAGAGAGGTAAAGGAAGAATTTTAAGGGGGGAGAGGTTTTTATGCTTCTCCTACGGCATAGAAGTTCTATCTTTCTCCTACCATTCAGCTGTCCAATTTTGAACAAGAAAGCTCACCGTTTGATGTTAGATGTGAAGTAGCAAAGTATTTTATTTTTGGATTTTTTTATACAAATTGTATGAATATGAAATTTGGTACTTGCTATCTTCTCATTGGGGCGCACCTATAAAAAATATTAAATAATTTTTCGATAAAATATAATGACCACCCCTTTGAAACTTTGAGAGGTATTTTAGTCATTTTGTTTTATTGAAAATATTTTTTATATATTTTAGCTAGTGCGAGTTTAATAGAGGAATAGATGTCCAAAATTTGGTGTCAAAGTGGTTTATAAAAAAAGTAAATATAAAATAGTATAGAGACGCGACATTGTGATGGAGACACTCTTAGCCCTCCATTCAGAACGGTTCGATAAAGAGAAAGATTGAACTTACGCTGCAGGGGAAACATAGAAAACTTTGCCCTTCTAAGAATCTCCCTCTAAAAACTGTATAGAACTTACGGCTTTTGAAGAGTCTCTTGCAGCTACGGCAAGGATGTCAGCGCATGAAACAACGCCTGGGCAGATGCTTTCCACCTTTGATTTAACGGCGTCGATCACTTCGAACCCTCTCGTTGAGTTGTTGTTCGCACGTGCGTTCTTCTCACTGCTAAATGAAGACGTGTCATCCAATAACAACGAAGCATCGCATCCCTGTTATATACACAACATTGATTATTCTCTCTTTTCTGTCTCTAAACCATACTAGTAGGTTTCATTCTCTGCATCAACGCTTCCTTCCTTGTTTTAAGGGTGCAGTTGGCATACGGATGCATCCGTAGCGGTAGAGGTAAGGTGCACATTCAAATTTTATCATGGTATATAATTTTGATGAAAAATGTTCTTAGGATTATCTTAAAATCTATTTTTATATCTAATTATAAAATTTTGAATTTTAAAAATAGTTAAAATCAAGTAGATCTATAAACATATGAAAATCTTGAAAATGGATGGTGTAGATAATATGTTGTAAAATGCGCTATTTTTTAGGACTTAAAATCTTTTTATTTTTCATAGTCATACATCTCGATGTCGAGATGATCAATCAAAAGATTTTTAAACATTAAAACTACCTTTTCCAATGGATTTTTGAGGTACATCCGTAGCTCTACATTACAAGGTTGCATCATTATCTAAACTTTTTCCCCGAAAGTAAAAACTCATTCTCTCTTCCTCTCTTCCTCTCTCATTTTCCATCTTTCTCTCTCTCTCTCTCTTATTCTCCCTCTTTCTCTCTCTCATTTTCTATCTTTCTCATTCTCTCCCTCAACCCACCGTCTCTCTTTCTCTCTCTAGCTATGGACTAAGATTTTGTGGTCCCGCACCCGATGTGTCGGACCGGTTAGAATTTGAGTTAAGGCTGACAATGCGATCTAGCAGAAAGCCGCATCGAAATTTTTTTACGGTCCGGCACAAAGTGTACCGGACCACATTATCAGCCTTAACTCAAATTCTAACCGGTCTGACACACTAGGTGCCGGATCACATTACAAGCCACGTTATTAGAACTCAATACGATCCAGCACACTGGGTCTTACACCGCGTTACCAGAGAATGAGAGAGAGATTGGGTTTTTATTTTGGGAGAGAGAATATGAGCAGAAAGAGAGTGTGTGTTAAGTGATCTCAAAATAGAGGCGAAAAAAGAGAGAAAGGGTATTGTTGTTTTTAAATTCATAGACTTTTTTACTTGAGGGTAAACATAAAAAGAATATATATATTGAAATTTAGGGTGGGATGCAAAAAGTTTTGGGGGTGTAAATGTCTAGAAAGTTGAATTTAAGCGTATCTATAATTTTCTCCAAAAACGAATAAAATTCGGTCTAAGAATGGAAGCAGAACAATGCACAACTTAGGAAAAATGAAAACAAAGCCGACGTTGACTGACCTTCTTTTATAATTTGTACATATAAATGAAGCATTTCTTATTCTAGAAAAATTTTTTGGGTCCCTATGTAAGTTACTCGATATATATTAAAGGTCAGAAAAGTATACAGAGAGAGTCACGGTTGGGTAATTGCTGGGATACGTAACAGGACGTCTCTCTCTCTTACACTCACAAATATGAAGAACTGAAATTCATCACTTACATTGACAAAGCAGTCATGGAAATGAAGGCGGATGAGGGAGGCACCCATGCGCCTCTCTGCCGATATCGCAGACCGGATTTTCGATCGGATGGTGGAGAGAGCATGAGGACAGAATGAGTCATAGAAATTGGAGCTCAGGTGCCCATAACACATGCTGCTGCTACACACCAACACTATCACTAGTGCAAGAGCAGCAGTACTATTTAAACCCATCTTCTCAATTGTGCCTAAACAGAACTGTCCAAAGGAGTAGCTACAAATTTGTAGAGAAAGAAAGGGACAAAAGGAGGCTTTAGAGAGAGAAACTGAGAGGGGAATAAGTCTGAATGATATTGTTGCTTATTGTATGATTCGGAGAACTGTGTATTTATAGAGAGAAAAGTAATGAAATGATAAGGCCTTTATTAGTGAGAGGCGACTAGGTGCATGTGACGCCGACCGTTTCTTTCTCTCTACCATTACGACTATGGGACCAGTGTTCGATTGCAGGAACCCGCTTCGGAACCTCGCTTTGGTGGGGCTCTGAGGAAATTGGAACCAGTCCTGGTAACTTGCCCGTCTCGATTGCTAAAAAAAAGTTACATTTTTTTCTGAAAAATCTTTAGAGTGGTAAAAAGTATATTTAAAATAGTGTGATTTACCTAGTGAACTTAAAATTTTAGGTAAAATATAAAAATTCTACTTATATGTTAAAACAAAGAAGGTCGGTCAACTTGTTTTTTCTATTTCTTTCGAATTTATCCCTCGATCCACCCAAATTTTGATTTTTTTTCTTTTTAGTTTTTTTCGTTAGTAGGTTAATGACTTAAAAGCTTGGGGCTCTTCCCTACTAACGAAAAAAATTAAAAAGCAAAATCAAAATTCAAATTAACCAAGTGGCAATTTTGAAAAGAAAATAGATTAATGTTCATAATTTCCACCGAGAATTTTGTATTTTAGTTAAAATTTTAGGGATTGTATGTAAATCACTCTTTAAAACATAATTAAATAATAAAATACATCCAAATGAGATTAAAACACCAATGAAAAATGGATCTGAAAAATCAATGAGCCCAGGGGTATTTTAAAAATAATGTTAAAAAATTTGAAAAAACATAAAAATAAGTATTTATAGCCAAAATACTTCTCATTCTTTTCCAAAACGATAAAAGGCATTAAAATAACTATTACAAACAAATTTTTTATTTTTTTAAATATATATATATATATATATATATATATATATATTTGAAAAAAAAAGTTAGGCTGCTCAAGCTGGTTGACCACCCTAGCTGGGCGCAGCTTCCGAGTAACCCTGCCGGTTTCTGTTCATCCCTGCTGGGTTGTTGAACACTTCTTTGCGAAGGCTTGATACGCTACACGAGTGTTGGACGTGCTCTCTTTCTTGGATTTTTAAGCATTTGACTCCTCAAACTTCGGACCTTTCTTGGATTTTTAAGCATTTGACTTTCGAACCTTTCAATGCATGAGGAGGAGTTTTCCTTTTAATATTGTAAATCACCATGTTGGCCTTGCTATGAAATATGAACCCTTCTTTGACATCACGCTGTCTGCAATTAATATTTTATGCAAAAGGACATGCTGAGCATATTGTCCATTTACTAGGTAAGTCTCACCCTGAGAATACTTTTAGGAATATTTTTAGGCACTTAAATTTTGGGATGTAATTCTTGAGCATACTAATGGCTTGGGGCCTTTGCGTTAGTATTGTTGAACCCCATGATGAAGTTTCTTACTTCATTTTCATCAAAGGGTGGAAGCCCAAATACCCACTGACTTACCACTTTCTGAAAGGTTATGACTTACCACTTTAGAAAAAGGGCGTAAAATGCCCACATCTAGTCACCATGTACACTTCAGGAAAGGTTCTTACCACTATAGGAAAGGGGCGTAGCATGCTCACATCTAGTCACCATGTTGTGGTTTCTATTTCTACCTTTAACCCATCCCACTTATACATTGAAATATCTAATTTCTAATCTACTTAAAAAAAATAGGTAGGGGCATGCCTTCCCCCTTGAATTACCCACAAATAAAAAAAAAAAACAAAACTTTAAAAACAAAAAAATTATGATAGGATATTATTATTTATTTTATGTGCTTGGAAAAATGTTTCAAGGTTGAATAAAGAGTTTCCAATTTTTGGAGGACGAGATCTAAGTATTAAAAATCTCAAAATTTATTTTTATTTGACAATAATCATCAAGAAGTTTTGAATTTGATCCTAGAAATCCAAAATAAAAAATCCCCAAGTATATCTCTTTTGCTAATGGAATTAATATACATTATGATCCTACAGTATCATGCTACACAATTTCTCTTTATTTATAGGAAAAGTTTATGATAAAACTATTTATTTTTTGAAGAAGAAGGTCGAAATCAATTTTATCCTTTGGATTTGAAACCAAATGGACAATTTACCTTTCACACAAGGTCAAAATTATTTTTAGCCATTGGATGTAAAATCAAGCAGTTTAGGATGTATTATTGATTAGACTTAAAGTTTCAAAGAAAATTTTTCAGTCAATTGTAACACACTCTAAGCCCACAAGTTTTACATATAATGGCTAAGAGTAATGTGACCTCCTTGTACTGAATATAAATGATCTTGCAATGTACATGTTCTTACTTTATTTATTTTTGTTTTGTCTGAGGGCCATTAAACTTGTTGGCATCTACCAGCATGAGCTCTATTCTTCTTTCTTAAGCCGATTATTCTCCATAGGATTTTTATTTCAGATAATGTTTATTCAATTAAAGAATAAATTTAGGAGAATTTAGGTGTGACACTAATAGACAACAAGATGAAAAAAAATAGACATAGGTGGGTTTTATCATGTATGGTGCAAACCTAATACAATATCTATTAGGAGGTGCGAGTTAGTTCAAGTGGAAGGCTCAAAAAAGTCAAGGTGTATGCTCAAAAAGAAATAGTTAGAAGCAGTGAAAAAATATATGGAGACTTATGGCCTTATTGAGAATATGGCCCTTAATAGAACAGAGTGGCACACTAAGATTTCTATAGCCAATCTCTATTAGTTGAGAAAAGGCTTTTTTGATGATGACGATGATGATGATGATGATTATTCAATTAACATTGAGTTCTTCCTCTCTTTTTTTCAATTTTTTTTTTTAAAAACACTTGAATGCTTTTCGAAAGTATTTGTCTTTTCAATTTGCACGTGCTAAAGCTCATATTCAGTATTATAGTTCGTAAGTAAACCCCCACCTCTTGTGGTGGAGGGAAAGAGAGAATGGGCAGGGTTTTATTCAAGATTTCGAATTTTTTATGAGAAAGTTTAAATTGGTTTACTTTGGTATATGCCAGTGTCAAAGTTAGAAAGTATATTTTTAAATTTTATAAGAACAATGACATACAATTGGCTGTCTGATTTTAATATGGTGGCTGATTGATACCTTCTATTTAAAGCAGATAGTCTTATAATATACGATTTGTTTTTAATAGAAAAAGTTAAAATGAGTTCATATTCAAATACAGTCTTTTTCCGAATATCCATCTTAGAACCGCAATTAGGTTATAAAACATATTGTAAGTCACTCTAGATGCATTTTGTTTTTGATTCATTTTGTATCTCAAAAAATAGTGTTGATCTATTGATTTGCAAATAATTAAATGAACAACGGTTAATGATTAAAAAACAAAATCTAAGATCACGCACTTTTAAATTCAAAATCTGACTTTCATTTTTCATAGCATGACAGTCAAGATTATGGACCCTTGATATTTTAAGTCCGAAACCAATCTCCAAAAGGATGGGTTTTCTATGAGTCAGCCGACTATTTTTATCCAATCTTAAACTTGGATTTCTACAATATTAAAGTTGGATTTTGAATCCAAAATTTTAGCAATTTGTGATCTAGGCTATGATAATGATAAATATGAAATATAAAGAAATTTTTTTTGTCTAAAATGTGAATTTTTTGACAAAAAATTTACACCGTATAAGCCCCCTGAGTATTTTACAACGTCGACTTTTGTGAGTGAGCGGGCTCTAGCACCCACTTACTCATGAACAGCTTTTTCATCTCCAAAGGGAGTTTTGAAGGAGGCCGCATTTGAATAGGTGTGTCTTTTTAACTTCTTATACTCTTTAATTAAAGTAAAAACTGATATACGCTTCCCTTTTTCTTTCCTTTTAAAATTCAACTCCTTATGATTTTGATCATTAATGTTTTGGCTTCATGTGGGGAACTTCCCCCTCATTAATGTTTTGGCTTCATGTGTTTACACATGCTCATTGGATTGCTTGGGTTCATTGTATTTGGAAATTTCCCTATTTCTACTTTCTATTGCAAATGGTCCCCTTTTTCCCTTATTTTAATTTGACCAGTAACTCTTGAAGCAGCTTAGAGTCCTCGACAATATCTAGCTTGACACTTCTTTGTTTGAATTTAATTTAATTTAATTTAATTTGGCCATGTCCTTTGTTTATTTAAAGACTGCTACATGTCACTGTTTTAGATAAGTATATCCTTCCCTTGATCCACACACCTTGTAATATTCTAAACAAAAATCTGGAGTTCTTACAGTGACAAGATGCTATGAAATTGTGACAAGATGCTATGAAATGACAACCTACCATTAACATGTATAATATGCTCCTGCCAGAGTATACTGTCTACTTGCTCCCTTTGGTGAAAACCTCCCTTGGAAGCCTTTTGAGTATGAAATGTTGGATCTACTTAAGAACCATCACATGATGATTAAAAAAAAAAAGGATTTTCAGTTCTTTAATAATTCGCTTCCATGGTTCAAATTTCGGACCATCTATGCTCTTGTTTAGGTCGTTCTTTTTTCACGTTAGGAGAGTTAGTTTGATATTTGTTTGGAAATTTATCAAATTACTCATCTGAATACCCGTAAAAAAGTAGGTGACCTTGGGTTGGAATAGTTGTAAATATGTAGAATGTTAAATAGTTAAGGGTGTGGTTTTTATAAGGTTTCAACCTTAATCAATCCAATTACTGCACACCTCCAAATTTTATAATAGCATGTAGTTTTGGCGTATAAAATTATTATAATTATCTCAAAATCTATTTCCATATCTTACAATAAAATTTTAAAATCTAAAAATAGTTAAAATCAAGTAGATCTATAAATATATAGAAATTTTGAAAATAATCTTTTTCGATGGACTTTTGAGGTGCATCTGTAATTCTACATTTGAAGTTTGAAACGTTATATAAACTTTTTCCAATAGTTAATCTCTAACACGTACTTTGATAAGGAAATGGTTTCTATACTTCCCCTACATCTTCTATGCTTTCCCCTACCATCCAACTGTCAAAATTTTGATCAAGTGAGCCACTCACCATTCATTCTTAAATCCGACACCTCGAAGTATTTCATTTTTAATTTTTTATACAAATTGTATGACTATGAAATTTGGTACGTGTCATCATCTCATTGGGCGCACCTAGAAAAAATATTTTTTAATGAACTACAATGACCAAAATACCCCTCAAATCTTTCATGGGTAGTTTGGTCATTTTATTTTATTGAGAATATGTTTTTTATATTTTTTAGATGTGAAAATTTAATAGAGAGCTGGTCGTCCAAAATTTGGTGTCCAAATATTTGATAAAAAAATATTAAAAATAAAATAATATAGAGATGTGACATTGTAATTGGGGCCATCTTAACCATCTATTTAAATTAGACGGTTGGATAAAAGAAAATATATAAATTTAATGTGGTAGGAAAAGCATATAAATTTTTCCTTGCCACTATGTTGAAGAGAATACATCTAGAAACTTTCGGATCCTACAGTACCCCTCGGTTGGGTTTTGTGCCCGGAGGAATATAAATGAAGAGTGCAGTAATGGTATGGCATAGGGTCTTCACCACATAATCTCCCTCTCTCTCTCTCAATAATTTATAATTGGATTATTTTGGACCAGGAAGGGTCTCTCTCTCTCTCTGGACCCTGAAGGGCCCGGCACTACTTACCATCTCTTTCAAATTATGGGATGAAGATGAAATTGTTGTGATGCCACTTTTTCTCCACTTCCCTGCTTTGCTTTGAGATATGAATTAATCATGTAAGAATTAATTTTTATCTTAAAATTTTCTTGTTTGCTAGTTTTGTCAAATTTCCATCATTATCTTAGCAACATGGTGTTACTATTGTTTTTTTTTTACAAGGTTATGATGTTTATTAGCATATTACATGCACTATTAACCAAAGTTCAGTGGTTTTCTATCAAGTTAATACAATTAATTCGGGCAAAAATTAAAGGAAAATAAATAGTTAAAAGAGAGAAATATAAAGATGTAGACTCCCGATACTGATCGAAGAAACCATGAGAAAACCAAAATTCCCCGAGACAACCATCTCAAAACCTGAACCTACCACAATTCCCAAAACAAACTACTGGAAAAGTCTAAGACCTCCGAAGACCGAAGGCAAACTAAGCAGGCCGAAACCAATGGCTATCGATTCGGAGGTGATTACAAAGCAAACATAGGGAATTTTGCCAACTATAGTCCCAACATCCTTGAATAGAACCATTATTCAGGCTGTCAAAATCAACATGAAAGCGGATTCCTCAGCTAACAGGCAAAAATAGCAAGCAATGCAGGTGCCAAATCTGTCAACGAAAGTTGAAATCTTATATTCTTGAACTTATGATTTGTAAGGGCCATTTGTAAGGGCCATGACTCCTTAAATGAGGTGATCCCCAATTTAGTCTTGGGAAAGGTTTCTATATTTCTTTTACAACATATAATATTTATGCTTCCCCTACCATCCAGCCGTCTAATTTTGATCAAGAGAGCCACTCACCATATGATTTTAGATCTGACGTCTCAAAGTATTTTATTTTTAGTTTTTTTTATACAAATTGTATAAATATGAAAATTGGTATGTGTCATCTTCTCATTGGGGCGCACCTATAAAAACATATTAAAAATAATTTTTGATAAAATATAATGACCAGAATACCTCTTGAATATTTCAAAAGTACTTTGGTCATTTTATTTTATTGGAAATATTTGTTTTATATTTTTTGTTAGTGCAAGTTTAATAGAGGATTGGATGTATAAAATTTGGCGTTAAAATAATTTGTATAAAAAATAGTAAAAATAAAATAATATAAAAATGTGATATTGTGATTGGGGCAATCTTTACTCTTCGTTCAGAATGGACGGTTAGATACGAGGAAATATATCAGATTAATGTAGTAGGGGAAACATAAAAAGCTTTCTATTTTCTGAATTCAATACTAAGCGTGACAATGAAGTCATGGACATCTTATAGTTTTAAACTTTGTGATGACCTTTAGCTACTTAACTTCAAATCTGATAGCCCAATGTGATTATGACATTTTGTCCAAAAAAACAAATAATTTGTGGTGTACAAATTTAAAAAGAAATGCTTCATTATTCACGACACAAATTACAAGAAAGCAATTTCATGAAATAAACTAATCACACATCTACATGAATGAGAAGCACATAGGCCCCCACAATATACAATTACAAAGGGCCTTCGTCTAAAAAAGAACAAATTAATAACATAAACCACAATCCCTTTCAAGAATCAATCAATTGGGCACGGAGCACCTTGCCCTAATCTGCCCAGCTGATCCAGTAAGAGGCTCAATATCCCCCATCTTCACCATAGCCTCCGCAAAATCCGAGTAGAAAGCACTGCGACTCTTACTATATGACCTCACTATCTCATCAGTTGATCCACCATTAAACAGCACCTGATCTGATTCCAACAAACCCTTTTTCTGCATCAAAATCTTGAAGTAGTTGTTGTCGAAGCTAGTGGGTGTAACAAGGTCAAGCGGTGCGAGCTTCGAGTCCCCACCATTTGAAGGGCAGCGATTACGCCTTTTGCGAGCAAAGCCAGAGTCGATGTTGGTGTGGTTGTAAATTCTGTCTCTGAATGTGAAACACTGGGCTTGGCCTATTGTGTGTGCACCAGAGAGAGCCACCAAGTCTTTGGCACTGAGTCCCTTTCTGCGGAAGCGAGAGATGAGACTGTCCAAGGGAGTGGTGAAGAGAGGGAGTTCTCTCTCTGCCTCACTCTTGCTTGCCGTTGCAGAGTCTCTTCGCCCTAGCTTTACAGTCCACGATGGACCTCCCAACTGCGCAGAGTTTATTTCTACATCAGTTTTTATTTCTCCGTTGGATTTTTTATTCAAGAAATACAAGACTGAAATCTTAAATTGATGAGATACATGTTAAGAATTGAAATCATAATCGTAGGAAAAGAAATATTAAAAATGTTTGGAAAAACCTAAACATCATTACATCTTACAAATTGGTCCAAATGCTTCAAATGTTAGGATGATATTTTGACCCCTTAAAACTTATTTTGGCTGAATATTTTATGAGTTATTTAGGATGACTACTTTACCTCCAAGCTTCATTTAAATTGGGAGAGGTAGTCACTTAGGAAATAGAACGAAATTGTATACTAGAGGGCCAAATATATTTTGTACGAGTTACCTTTAGCCGTCAGATATGACATTTGATAGCTTGAGGTATGTTATAAAGTTCGAAAAATTCATTTTGAACTTGGGGCCTGCTCATAGAAGACCTACATCTAACTGATTTTAGATCAAATAGCCAAGGTTGATTCTGATCATAGTTTTATTATATATATAAACTTATCCTCTTGAAAATTATAAGCCACACTCATGAGATGATTGATCCCAAAAAAAAAAAAAAAATCCAACTCTTGAATTATTATCCTGAGACATTCCAATATGAGATTCCTTATAAATGTAAAGGACTATAAAAGATCTTAAGAGGAAATCGTTTTGCTTAGATATTCTTACCTTTACAGAAGAGTCTCTTGCTGCAACTGCAAGGATGTCTGCACAGGAGACCACACCTGGACATATGCTTTCCACTCTCGACTTTGCCTTTTCAATGACTTGGAAGCCTCTAGCAGACTCGATGTTCTGAATGGCATTCTGTTCGCTCTCGAAAGAGGAAGTCGAGTCCAACAGGAGCGATGCATCGCAACCCTGCACATAGATATCCATACACCTAAGATCACCCACATTCATAAGATAGATCGAGTTTGATAAATAGATTAGAAGAAATTCAGACTCATAGATTAATAGATTGATAGATACGAATTGTTAAACATAAATATTAAGAACTCACATTGACAAAGCAATCATGGAAGTGGAGGCGAATAAGGGAGGCTCCCATCCGCCTCTCTGCCGATATCGCGGCATGAATGGCGGTGCGGATGGTAGAGAGGGCATTGGGGCAGCTCGAATCATAGAACTTGGAGCTCAGCTGCTTCCCTTCACATAGTAACAGCATGCTACATAGCAATATCATGAGCAGTGTTGCTATATGGGCAGTAGAGCAAGAGCCCATCTCTTTTCTTGATATAACAGTTTAGAAAGAGAAGGAGGGGTTTAAAGAAGCGTCTTAAAGAGAGAGAATGGCTCGTTCAAGGGTGTAGTTTTTGGCCTTAAATGCACAAGAAAACCTAGAGAGAGAAAGAGAGGTAAAAATCTTAAGATTGACGAGAAGAGATGAAGAGCAAGAGATGTACTTATAGAGAGAGAGACGTCCTAAAGCGGAGCTCCGTTATAAGACTTTCGTGCTGGTAAGGATTTTTATTAATGCGAACACGAAACATTCAATTATGAGGTTCTGTCTCTCTTCTAATGGCTGCGCAGCCCTCGCCTGGCATGAATGCAGTTGTAAAACGTGCTCCTTTTTGGTAGGCCCTTAACTTATACACCAAATTGTTCCAATTTTTAGTGAATCACGTTTCCCTTGAAACATACCAAAATGCCCAAACACTCTCTCTCCGATGGGATGATGCCATCCTCCTAATTTGTAAAGGGCATATGCCCTAAAATAAGATAAAAATGAAAATAAAAATCAATTTCCACGTTCAAAATACGACAGCGTGATTATAATTATAATGTTTGTATTGATCAATGGAAATAGTTTACATAAGGTTGCACCTTTGATATGTAGAATCAAAGACTCACATACAAAATACATCAGAAAAATTTGATTTTGAGCCCTCGAAAATAGTGCATCTTGGAACACATTATTTAGACCATCCATTTTCAAAATTTATATATATATATATATATATATACTTGATTTTAATTATTTTTAAAGTTTAAAATTTTATAATTAGCGATGAAAATAAATTTTAAAATAATCCTATTAATTTTTATACCAAAATTGTCAATCCCGCAAAATCATTGGCATTTCTCTATCATTTGACCGACAATAGCATCTCTCTAGACAATTACTGTGATACTTCTTCAAAAGTAAGATCCCTTCAAAAAAGGAAAAGATAAAAAGACTAGCTCATACCTTATCTTCTCATAAATCAAAGCGTAATAAAGTGACTACAAGAAACGAACATAATGGATATAAGAATATCATTAACAACTGACACAAGTAAAATGACGTGCATTCTAAATATTTTTTTAGCGTTGTTAATTTACGGAAAGTGTATATTGACGTGTATTGTAAAGTTCAGGGAAAATACAAAAACCCTGTAAAATGGGTCACCCAACTTTCCTAGCAACTTTCCATAAAAAAACAATCATTTTTTTTAGAAAATACCCTTATATATATTTTTAAACGAAAATACCCTTCTCTCGTGTAACAAATATTTTCGGATCCCAATAAAAGAAAACGTAGGATTGCATTTGTACCACACCGGACTGCTCACATCAAAACCACGGACTGCTAGTTCAAAACATCGGATTGCCCCTTCAAAATGTTGGACCGCAATATCAAAACGATGAACTACCCTTTCAAAATGCCGGACCACCAGGTTGTCCCTTCAAAATGCCGGACCACCGAACTGCCCCTCCAAAATGTCGGACAGCCATATCAAAATGCGGACTACCCCTTCAAAATGCCGGACCGCAACTTCAAAACACCGGATGCCCATTCTAGTAAAAAATAATCGCCGAACTGCCATCTTGAAACACCATACCGCCACCATGAAACGCCGGACCAGCCATTCCAGCAAAAATAATCGCCGCACCACCTGTTCAAAATGGTGGACCGTGCTCTCCAATAAAAACAATTTTTGATACAAGGGATCGGTAATGTCATCTAAAAAAAAATGAACTTTTGTATAGGGATATTTGCTTGGAAAGGTTGAGGGGGGTAAAGTACATTAAAAGTTCATTTTGGAGGGTTTTCGCAATTTTCCCTAAAGTTGATTTAATATGTTTTATGTTTGGGTGCGGTTTGTATAGAGCCGAAGCTCTAAACAATCAAATTAGAGCCTACCTTCAAATAGTGTCGAGAAATATGGTTTCAATACTGGAAAAATTTGTGATAATCTTAAATTATATTTGCATCTTTAAGTATTTTCTCCATTTAAAATTTGATATAGTTTCTCTCTCTAAAGTTTTAAGATATTTTCCATCTCTAAAACTTAGAATTTAAGATAGTTTTTCTCTCTAAAAATTATAGTTTCTCTCTCTAAAAATTTCAAGTAGTTTCTCTCTCTAAAATTTTCATATACTTTCTCTCTCTAAAACTTAAAATTTGAGATAGTTTATCTAAATTTTTTAAATAGTTTCTCTCCTTAAATATGTCAAGTACACTATCTATATAAAATTTGATATAGTTTTTCTCTCTAAAGTTTTAATGTATTTTCTCTCCTTAAAACTTAAAATTTGATATAGTTTTTGTCTCTAAAAATTTTCTGGTAGTTTCTCTATCTAAAATTTAATGTAATTTCTAATATCTAAACTTTTAGTATGCTCTCTCTAAAACTTAAAAATTGAGATAATTTCTCTCTCTAAATGTTTTGAGATATTCTCTCTAAAAATTTTGTAGTAGTTAGTCTCTCTAAAATTTAATGTAGTTTTTCTCTTTATAATTTTAAGATACTTTCTTTATCTAAAATTTAAGATTTGAGATAGTTTCTCTCTTTAAATTTTAATATGGTCTCTCTAAAACTTTAAATTGGAGATAGTTGCTCTTCCTAAAAATGTTATGATTATTTCTCTCTGTATATTTTCTCTCTCTGAACAATTTCGTAGGCTTTCTCTCTCTAAAGTTTGATATAGTTTCCCTTTCTAAAATTTTAAAATGTTTTCTCTCTTTAAAATTTGATATAGTTGCTCTCTCTAAAATTTAAATATTTTTTTTGTTCATGAGTAGCAAAATGGATCATTTCCATGAAATGTCAATTCCACCTATTTTGGTGGAATTACCTATTTTGGTGGAATTAAGATTTTTAAAATTTAAGCTTAAAATGAACATTCAAGAATCTCATGGAAATCTCAATTCCAACAGAAATATCAATTCTAAACCAACCAAACACGATTGGCCCAACTTTTCCAAGAAAAAATGACTCTTGGAAATTTGAATCGAATGAGCAAAACGGGCCCTTAAGGAAAACCTTTTTGGTGTATTCATAGACATTATTTATTTCACGGATTTAGGATCTGCGATATAAACTGAGTCACTCTTAATGTATTTATGCTTTAGATCTATAACTTTGCAACTCAAAAAATAATGTAGATTTATTGATCAACAAATAATTCATCATCGTCAAATCTTTTTCCCAACTAATTGGAATCGGCTAATTGATCTACAAATAATTAACAAAATAAAATATTAGATAGGTTATTTGTGATGTTCAAATATTTTATTTTATTTTCCAATTGTGGTGATCAAAGTTTCTACCCTAAAACTTTATATTACATTTGAATAGGTTCGTTAGATGAAACCACTGTTCGCAAACTTGGTTGGTCCAACTTGGAACCGGCTAGTAAAACTAGAACGATCCGGTTTGGTTGGTTTTGGTTGTCCGACCAGGTATTTTAAATTTTTTACAAAAATTATATAAAATCTCAAACATAAGAGATTTATTTATGGTGTGTTGTTTAATATTTTTTATCATTTGGCAAAGATTGCAAAGTGTTTTGGTCATGTATATTTATTTTTATGTTTTTCTATCTTTTTTGAAAAATTTCAAGAATACGCTTGGATACAAATCAATTTTTTAAAATCCATTATTTTCATTACATATCAACTTCATTGGGATATGCTTTGTTTAACTATGCTTTAAATATACTTTTCAAAGGTTTTTTGAATTTTTAATATTTGTTTTATTTTTTAATACTTTTTGGACAGACCGAGACATGCCTGGTTAGACTGGTTGAACCAGCTGGTTTACCAATTACTCAAACCCAGCCCTTGATCGGCTATCAAAACCAAATATCGAAACTCATTATCAAGTCAATATCCCCCATAATCCATTTGACATTGTGGCGTAAAAAGGATGGGCCCATAGGGATGTTCTTCCAAAGAGCAACTTTTCTTATGAACTCTCCATATAGATGTATTATTAAAATACCTTGTAACAATCCTAAACTTTCAATATATATATATATATATATATATAATAATAATAATATTAATAGTATTAACAGAAATAAATACAAATAAATAAATAAAATCATAAGTATATATTAGTAATGATAATAATAATAATAATACTAATATACCGTTAGGATATTGTTGCTTTTATATTAACAATAAATAAAAGATATTATTGTTAATATATTTGAAGGTTCAATTTTACTTGGATGGACCTTAGGTCCACCATCTTAAACTTTTATATTAACACCTCTTATTACAACACCTTGCATTGAGGTGCTTCTTTTCTATTGGACGCTCTCTCTCTCTTAAAACGAAAACCCCCC